TCTATGGTCGCGGCAGTGAGTACTTGATTTCTTCTCTCGGCAGTCACCTCGTCTGCATGCTGCTTCTTGGAATTCTTAGCTTACGCACGAGTTATCTGGCGACTCGGTCTGATACGGTGGGCGGAACTCTTTCTCTCTGTCGTATACCTCTCATCAGATCAAGTCTCTTTCTAATTCGTAGTGTTTCTGGAGGTGGGCACGTTGGGTTCGGACTTGTGTGTAATCATGCAAGTATCTTTTATGAGGGCTCTGATAGACGTGCGGTTCATCGCGCTCTTCAATTGTAGTATATCGAAAATGTAGTCTGATGTGTGTAATGGATCGTTAGGTTGACAGTACTTGGGGTGTAGGCTCCGTCTTAGTTCTCACTCTGTTAGCGGGTTGTGTTGGCGTGTCGTTGATCTGCAGTATTCATTTCTCTAGTGGGTTGTGGATTACGTCTTGAGGTTACTTCTGGGTGATATACGCGTAATAGCGTAAAGTTATGGTTTCGATTTTCGGGAGGTGGTCAGAGTCGAGTGATGTAGGAGGTGAAGATGTTTCACTTGTTTTGAGGATTCGCTAGATATCGTCTCTCGGTGAGGGGTGGAGGGTCGCGAGGGTGCTTAACGCAGCTCTTTGGATTCGTTCATGTAATATGTGTTCTGATCGTCGATAACTTCGCTTATTCTGGTTGCTCGTGCTCTTCCTTGTGGCTTGCGTCCTCTTCGTAGGCGTCGTAATGGGTCCTGCTTCTCTTGCTATTTGTGACTTTGTTCTTACTTCTGATTCAAATCTTGCTGTCATCTGGGCTAGGTGTTAATATTCCATTAACACATCTTATGAGACCTCACTCGTAACCCGCTCTCTCGCTCTCTGCTCTGTGGGTCTACTTATCATCGCCATGTGTTTAGCGACAATCTTTTGGCGGGTGCTCCGACGTCTTTTGCCGTCGCGCTCGGTGACGGGGTTGTCTGTCATCATGTGAGGGAAAATCCGATGGCTGCACGCGGAGCGATATAGCTCTCAGTGCTTCTGGTTAGGTGTGCGCGCCGCTTCAGTAACTGTTTCTCTACGTGCGTATTTCTCTCTGGTCACTTGCCGGTTGCGAGGGGGTCGTTGAGTCTCCTTGTGATCGCTCTGCTGTTACATTTTCCAGATTCGTATACGCCTTGTCTGAGATTACGCGGACACACTTCATGTGTTGGTTACATGCGCACTTATTTTCCCAGTCGGCAATTATACTGCGTCGTTCGTGCATACGTTTCGGCGTCTACCTGCCTTTCTTTGATGGGCATCTTTGCTTCTGGGTTTACACTCTTCACCTCGCTCTGATCGTTGGCATCTCTCATTACGCGTCTGTATAGCTTCAAGTTCTAGCAGTTTCTTTTTTCATACTACTATGACTATTCCCTTATTTATTCTCGTAAATGTATCTTATTTTGGCGGCCAAGCTCTCGCTCTGGCTCTCTCTGGTTCTCTACTCGTCCGCCGTCTCTCTGCTCTCTCTCCTTCTTCTTCTCCGCTTCCGCTCTTTCTCTACTCTGGTTTCACTCGTCCTCGCTGCTCTCGCTCTCCTTCCTTCTTTCTCTCTTCCCTCTCTCGTCTTTCTTCTCGGTTTCTACTGCGTCCGCTCTCTCGCTTCCCTTCTCCTTGTTCTCTCTCCTGTTCGTTTCTTTCTCTTCTGGGTTCTCTCACGCGTTCCGCTCGTTTCGTCTACCTCTTTCTTCTCTCTCTCTCTTTTTCTTTCTCTCTCTGGTTCTCTCACTCGTTCCCCGGCTCTCTCTCGCTCTCTCTTTTTTCTCTCTGCCTGCTCTCGCTCTTTCTCTCTCTGGTTCTCTCACTCGTTCCCGCTCTCTCTCTCTTTTTCTCTCCTGCTCTCGCTCTTTCTCTCTCTGGTTCTCTCACTCGTTCCCGCTCTCTCGCTCTCTCTCTTTCTTTCTCTCTCCCGCTCTCGCTCTCTCTCTCTGGTTCTCTCACGTCCCGTCTCTCTCGCTCTCTCTTTCCTCTCTCTTTCTCTCTCTGCTCTCTCTCACTCTCCACTCTCTCTCTCGCTCTCTCTTTTCTCTCTCCTGCTCTCGCTCTTTCTCTCTCTGGTTCTCTCACTCGTCCCCGCTCTCTCGCTCTCTCTTTCTTTCTCTCTCCTGCTCTCGCTCTTTCTCTCTCTGGTTCTCTCACTCGTCCCCGCTCTCTCGCTCTCTCTTTCTTTCTCTCTCCCTCTCGCTCCTTTCTCTCTGGTTCTCTCACTCGTCTCTCCCTCTCTCTTCTCGCTCTCTCTCTCTTCTTTCTCTCTTTCTCTCTTCTGGTTCTCTCAGTCTTCCGTCTTCGCTCCTCTCTCTCTCTCCTCTCTCGCTCTTCTCTCTCTTCTCTCTCCCTCTCTCGCTCTTTCGCTCTTTTCTCTCTCTCTCTTTTCTTCTCTCTCTCTCTCTTGCTCTCTTTCTTTCTCTCTCTCTTGCTCTCTTTCTTTCTCTCTCTCTTGCTCTCTCTTTTTCTCTCTCTCTCTTTGCTCTCTTTTTTCTCTCCTCTCTTCTTTCTCTTTCTCGCTCTGTCTCTTTCTCGTTATTTCTTGCTTCTCTCTCTCTCTCTCTCTCTCGTCTTTCTCTCTCCTCTTTCATTCTCTCTCGCTCCTTCTTTATTTCTCTCTCCGCGCTTTCGCTCGTTATTTCTTGCTTCTCTCTCACTCTCTCTCTCTCTTTCTTGCTCTCCATCTGTCTGTCTATCTATATCTCTCTTTCTCTCATAAAGGGAATGATGGAAGTAACATCAAGAGATAATAACGATGATGATAATGATATGATACAAGAATAATCACGAAATAGAACATGAGTAACAAAAGCAATTTTTGCCCTTATCCTTCGTTACTGTCATTATCATCGTTATTACCATCTTTCCCATCCTCATCGTCCTTACAGGCAGAACGCAAGCAAAACTGACACCAATGCGCCCGCGGCAGTAGGTCCTCGCCCTCTGCCGCGCCACTCACTGAGGACGCCGAGGATGAAGGAGGCGGTGGCGGTCCTGCCCTGCGCGTTGGAGGCCGTGCAGGTGTAGAGGCCGACGTCCTGCTCGGCCTCCACGCTCTGGAACACGAGGCTGCCGTCCGCCCGCGGCGACCGGCGCGGCTTCGGCGTCAGGGGCCGCCCGTGCAGCGTCCAGGTCACGGACTTGATCGGGTAGCCGGCCACCGGGCACACCACCGTCGCCTCCGACCCGTCCACCACCGTCACGTTGGAGGGCGTGCGGCTGCTGGGGGGGCCGTAGGTCAAGGGGAGGGTGTGGGGGGGGTCGAAGGGGGTCGAAGGGGGTTGGATGGGGGGTCGAAGGGGATTGGAGGGGGGGGGAGGGGGAGGTTGGAAGGGGGTTTGGAGGGGTGGGGGAGGGGGAGGTTGGAAGGGGTTTGGAGGGGTTGTAGGGTGAGGGGCAGAGGCAGAAGGGGGTGTTGTACAGGGGTTGGAGGGGAGAGGGGTTGTAAATAAGAATGGGGGGGGGGTGCAAGAATGCATGATTAAAACCATTGTCATTACATGTCATCATATCGTTATATATCAAAACTATGCTTCAACACAGCACTTGCAACGGAAACGAAAGACGGCATCCAGTCCCCAAGTCCCTCCCACGCCTCCCCGTCGCCCCTCCACCCACCGTAGACGTTGAGGCGGGCGCTGTGCTCGGCCCTCCCGGCGGAGTTGGCGGCGGCGCATGCGTAGAGGCCGCCGTCCATGTGCCCGGCGCTGCTGATGTTCACCTGGCTCACCACCTGGCCGCCCACGTCCACCCACGCGCCCACGCTCACCCGCTGGCCGCCGTAGTGCCCGCTGGAGGGCGTGAGAGGGCGTCCGTCCAGAGTCCAGGTGATGACGGGCGTCGGGTGGCCGAGGGCGGTGCACTTGAGGGACACGGGCGGCCCCGGCTGCAGCGTCTGCTCGATGAAGGTGTGGCGGAGGCTGGGCACGGAGTCTGGGCGGGGGGGGGGCATGAAGTTCCATTATTAGATCTCAAAGCCACGGCGGCGCAATAAGTCCGAAGTTTTCGCGGGAAAATATTCCGCTCTAAGACCTTTGATTTAATCTTCCTAGGAAAAAATTGGGACATCCAAGAAACCCAGCTAATGGTGATGAAAATGCCTAACCCTAATGATCAAATAACGCAGATGCTGAATACTGCGGCCACCAATTCGCATTTGCTGAGCTGGTGCCCCTGGGAAGACCAGTGAATCCCGAAGACCTCTTTCTCGCGAATCAACGCCTTAGGAACTAAGATCTAACCATAAACAATTTGAGAATAAACGCCATAAACAAAGGAGAATCAAGTAAACCGATTAAGGCGGATCTGAACCTGTCTTTAAGCCGATTCCCGATGCTACGGAATCGGCTGAGACGCGACTGGAGATGCCAATAAGCCTATTCATGAGGAGAGTGAGACGGCTGATGACGAGTTCGCTCTATAATTGAGGATCCTTTTGGCGGAAGTGAAAATGAAGCCATGAATGAACTGGCCTTCTCTGAAGATATCAAGCTGAATAAGAGATTTAAAATGGATTTAAGATGCGCTCATAAACCGACTGGAAGTAGCCATTCCGAAAATACTAATCCTAAGATTTGGAGTGAAGCTGAGATACTGATGAAGCGACTGAAAGTCAATTACTCTGAAAATAAGAAACCGAAGCTTCAAAACAGAACTGAAATACTGATGGACCAATCATCCGATCAACCGATTTCACATTTTAAAAAATCGGATCCCGACGAACCGATCTGAGCCGATTTGAGCCGATTTCGCTCACCTCGGATGCTGATCTGGCTGGACGCCTGTGCCTCGCCCAGGCTGTTGGCCGCCACGCACTGGTACATCCCGGCGTCCCTCTCGCCCACGCCCGTGATCACCAGCGTGTCCCGCCCCTGCAGCATGAGGTGGGCGTGGGTGTGGGTGTGCAGCGGGGAGCCGTCCTTATACCAGCGGACCTCGGCCACGGGGGAGCCCTGGACGCGGCACCGCACGCTGACGCGGCTGCCGGCGGAGACCGTCTGCGGGAGGGGGAGGGGGGGAGGTTAGATGATGAGGACGATGAGGCAGGAGATAGATAGATAGATAAATGAATATAAAGAGATAAACAGATATATAGATTGATAAATACAAATATATAGAAGAGAGAAGGAAAGGAAGACACAAAATTCACTGTCTCTCTCTTCCAACTAAAACAACACGACAACAACAAAACAACAATAACAAACAACAACAACAACGACACCACCACACCCACCACCAACAACAACAACGACCCAAATCAACCCAAAACGACCCGACAAGGGACAGAGGCGAGTGACGTCAGACTCGCTCGCTGTCAAGAGGTGTCGTCTACCCCCTCCCCTCCCCCCTCCTACGGTTCCAAATGGGGAGTAGGGAGTGAGGGGGGAGGGAGGGGGGAGGGAGGGAGGGGGGAAATTGAATGGGGGAGTTAGGAGGAGGAGGGAGGTTATGGGGGAGTGGAATGGGGTTATTGGGGCGTGGGTATGAGGTGTAGGAGGTGGGAGGGTGGAGTATGTAGGTATGAGGGGAAGGGTTGGGAGAAGAGAGAGAGACGTATGAGAGGGACAGGGATTGGGAAATCTGCTCGAAAGGGGGAGGGAGAGAAAGAAGAGTGAGAGAGGGAGAGAGGGGAAAGAGGGGAGATGGAGAGAGACGGAGAGAGAAAGAAGAGGGAGAGAGGGGGAAAGAGTAAGAGGGAGAGAGAGAGAACAGAGAGACAGAGACAGAGACAGGAGACAGAGACAGAGACAGAGAGACAGAGAGACAGAGAGACAGAGAGACAGGAGAGACAGAGAGACAGAGACAGAGACAGAGACAGAGACAGAGGACAGAGAGCGAGAGACAGGAGACGAGAGAGACAGAGACAGAGACAAGACAGAGACAGAGACAAAGACAAGACAAAGACAAAGACAAAGACAAAGACAAGACGCGCAAAGACAAAACAGAGACAGAGAGAGGGGGGAATGGGACGGGAGAGGGATGGCGAATGGGGACAGAGACAGGATAAAAGGGGGGCGAGGGGGAGGGGGGGGCGGGGGGGGGAGGGGGGAATGCAGTCCTTCGCCTGTCGATAACACGCCCACTCGCTGAATTTCGGAAATCCATAATCGCTTCTCGCGCGGCCCGATGAATTAGCTGCAGTCGGTGCTAATCGGTGGGTTTCCGTCGGGGCGAAATGGGGTGGGGGGGAGGGGGGGGGGGGGAGGGGAAGGGGAAAGGAGGGGGGAGAGGGGGGAGGGGAGGCAAGTGGAATGGGGACTGGGGATGGCGGAGTGGAAGGGGTATGGCGAGGGGGGAAGAGGAAGGGGAATGGGGAATGTGGATAGAGGAAGGATTCGGGAAGGGAAATGGGGAGGGCGATTAGGAAGTGGGACGGGGGGAAATAGGGAATTGGGAGTGAGAAAAGGGGAAACGGAGAGGGGAATAGGGTGGGGAAGGGAAATGGGGGAGGAAAGAAGCAATAAGGTAGGGACAGGAAGGGGAAGGGAAATGGGAAAAGTGGGAATGGGGATGGGGCAGTGAGGAAGAAGAGAAATTGTGAGGAGAGGAGGGGGGTGGAAGAGGTGGAAGGGAGGGGAATGGGGAGAGGATGGAGGATGGTGGGGGTGAAGAGTGAGGAGGGGAGAGAGCGGAGGAGGGAGAGGGGGCGGAGGGAGGGGGTTAGGAGAATAGAGGGAGAAGGAGAGGAGAAGGAGGGAGCAGACAGAGATGGGATGGCGGGGAGAGGATGCGGAGAGGGAGTAGAGGAGAGGAGAGAGGGGAGGAGGAGAGGGGAGAGGGAGAGGAGAGAGAGGAGTGGAGAAGTTAGGGAGGGAGAGGGAGGGGGAGGAGTGAGAGAGGATGAGAGAGGAGGAGTATAGAAGGAGGGGAGAATGGGAGGGAGAAGGGGGAGAGGGGAAGTGAAAAGAAGGGATAAAAGAGAGAGTGGGCAGGAAAAAAAGGGGAAGGGTAGAAAGCAGGGAGAGGAGAAGACAGAAAGCAATTTTGCAAGAAACAATATTTATATTTCGCTTCTTGCCCGAAATGGAAGCAAACCCCTGAAAACTACATGAAAAAGGCCCCAGAAGACACTCCTTCAACCACCCGACTCATCCCGTCCTTCGCGCGAACCTTCTCTCACTCCCTACCTACATATACAAGATACGCCTCACGCCAGCGCTTGTCCCTTCCATTCAGTCACAACAGAAGCAACATTCTCGACACTCACTCGTCCAAAAAAAACAAAATTGCACAAGCAACGTAAACAGAGAGAGAGAGAGAATAACAGGAAATGTTTATCTTGCTCGACGGCGTGCTCTGTTTACTTCACCTCCGAGGCGCTTGAAGGGGCGGGGTTGACGCAGGGATTGGTGAATAGATGACAGATTGATGAATAGATTGAGTAGATAAGATACTGGAGGATAAGGATATGATAAATAGATTGAGGATTGAGAAAGTGGAGAGATAGATTGATAAGATAGATGATAGATTGATAAATAGATAGATAGAATTGGATGAAAGATAGATAGATTGAAAATAGATAGATAAATAGATTGATAAATAGATAGATAGATAGATTGATGAATAGATAGATAGATTGATAAATAGATATAGACAGATAGAACTGATAAATAGATAGATAGAATAGATTGATGAATAGATAGATAGATAATAAAAATAGATAGATAGATGATGAATAGATAGTAGATTGGTGAATAGATAGATAGATATGAATAGATAGATGAATAGATAGATAGATTGATGAATAGATAGATAGATTGATGAATATAGATAGATTGATAATAGAGTGGTAAATAGATAGATAGATTGATAATAGATATAGATAGATAGATAGATGATGAATTAGATAGATAGATTGATGATAAGATAGATAGATAGATGAAAATAGATATAGATGATAGATATAGATTGATGAATAGAAATAGATAGATAGATTGATGAATAGATAGATAGATTGATGAATAGATAATAGATAGATAGATGATGAAATAGATAGATTGATGAATAGATAGATAATAGATAGATAGATTGATGATAGATTGATGAATAATAGATTTGAGATAAGATAGATATAATAGATAGATAGATTGATGAAATAGATAGATAGAGAGATAGATGAATAGAATAGATATGATTGATAGATTATGAATTAGACTGATAAATAGATGAAATAGATATATAGATTGATAGAATAAATAGATGAGATAGATAATAGATAAATAGATTGGTAAATAATAGATAAATAGACTGATAAATAAATAGATTGATGAAGATAGATGATAAATAAGACAGATTGATAAATAGATAGATTGATAAATAGATAGAATAAATAGATGAAAATAGATTGATAAAGAGAATAGATGAATAGATAGATAAATAGAATAGATAAAATAGATAGATAAATAGATAGATAAAGTAGATAGATAATTGATAGATAATAAATAATATAAGGTAGGTACATCAATAAAGATGGACAGAGATATATATAGGTAGGCTGGTAAATAAATAGATATAAAGGCAGATAGTAGATTCATGAGTAGATAGATAGATAGAAACAGAGAGAGAGAGAGAGAGAGAGAGAGAGAAAGAGAAGAGAAAGAGAGAGAGAAAGAGAAGAGAGAAAAGAGAGAGAGAGAGAGAGAGAAGAGAGAGAGGAGAGAGAGAGAGGAGAGAGAGAGAGAGAGAGAGAGAGAGAGAGAGAGAGAGGAGAGAGAGAGAGAGAGAGAGAGAGAGAGAGAGAGAGAAGAGAGAGAGAGAGAGAGAGAGAGAGAGAGAGAAGAGAGAGAGAGAGAGAGAGAGAGAGAGAGAGAGAGAGGAGAGAGAGAGGAGAAGAGAGAGAGAGAAGAGAGAAAAGACAAGAGTGATACGACAAGGAAGAAAAAACATTTTCAAGAGAACATTTCTATCCGCCTTTTAAGTCGCCTTGTTAAGAAGGTCGATCAAGCGGACGACAAATTTGGAAAAATGGCCCTAATCGACTTCCCTCTTCTCCTCTGTATTTCTTAATCAAAGCCCGTTTTCTTTTCGCTTTTTATTCCTCTCTCTGTCTGTCTGTTTCTCTCTCTGTGTCTCTCTTTCTGTCTGTCTGTCTGTCTCTTTCTTTCCCTCCTTCCCTCCAGTCTCTATTTTCTTCTCTATCTTTCTGTCTCTCTCTCCCTCTCAGAACCATACACACGCAGTCACACTCAAAAATTCACCTACACCACACCCACCTAGCCCTCCCCCCTCCACACACCCACACACACATCCCTCCATAACACGATCGCACTCACACACACGCGCGCGCACTCACACTCACTCACACACAAAAGGTCCATTTTCCAAAGCTCATGGAAGCTATTAACTGTCCCAATGAATGTGACACTAGCACAAAGGCAATCATCATTGTCCGAAGCTTAAAAAATGGAAGGGATAGACAAAGAGAGAGAGAGAAGAGGAAGGAGGGAGGGAGAGAGGTAGGGAAGAAGAGAGGGAGAGAGAGAGACGAGGGAGGAGGGAGAGACGGGGAAGGAGAGAGGGAGAGAAAGAGAAAGGAAAGAGAAAGAGAAAGAGAGAGAAAGAGAAAGAGAAAGAGAAGAGAGAGAGAGAGAGAGAGAGAGAGAGAGAGAGAGAGAGAGAGAGAGAGAGAGAGAGAGAGAGAGAGAGAGAGAGAGAGAGAGAGAGAGAGAGAGAGAGAGAGAGAGAGAGAGATAAGACAAATAAATAAGCACGCAGACAGACAGATGATGAATAGAGATAGATAGGCAAATAGAGAGAGAAAGTAATTGATAGATAGGTATAAAGAGAGATAAAGAAATAGATAGATAGGCATATATTAGACAGAGAGATGACAGGACAGACAGTTAGAGGATAAAAGAGATTAGGCAAAAAAAGAAAAAAGAAAGAAAAAAAAAAAGCCGGAAAAAATTGAAAAAAAGAGAGACAGAGAAAGACAGAGAATTAGAGAAAGAGGGAAGGGAGAGAAGTAATTGAAAAAGGTAGGGCAGAGAATATAAGA